TATGATTCTGAGACTCCTGGGGAAAAATACGTTTTCAAAGAATTAATTTTTTAAAGTAACTTCAAATGCAAATTAGAAAATTTATTAGCAACTGAAAGTTTCCCAAAGACCTAGTACAAATGTTTATGGTTATTCTAAAATTCCCAGCAGCAAAAATTCCATGAGCATAACTATCATCTATTGAACCTATTTGTGACATTTTCAAAACACCCATTAACTTGAAAATAAAACACACTTCATTTCTCCCAAAAACAATCTGGTAAGATTATATAGAAATCCAACTATTCTTCTGAGGTCCAGCTTATTGCTGTGTAATAACAATGAATTTACTCAATCATTCACTTTGGTACTTCTTAATAAGTTTATTTCAACATGTACAAATTTTAATGGTTCAAAGGAAAAACAGTGGTGAAAACTGATGGTACAATGCAGAAAATATAATGATTTTTTTAAAAAACAACCTTTGCTATGGCTTGTGTTTTGATGATAATTATCTATAAGTGATTTGGAAATATTATCTTTTTTTTAAATCCTCACCTGAGGATATGTTTTCTAAAAAAGTTTATTTTTATTGATTTCAGAGAAGATGAGAGAGGGAGAGATAAAAACATCTATATAACAAAAGGCTAATATGCAAATTGTCCCCTTGACTGGGAGTTCAACCAGAAGGTCGACCAGGGGGCAGGGCTGGCCGGCCAACCCCCCGCAGCCCCTCCCCTTGGCCTGACCCACCCCCGATCGGCCCTTGCCACCCCGATCGGGGCGGGGCCGGCCCACCAAATGCCTGTGGGCCCTCCTCCCAGCTGGGCCCACCCCCGACTGGCCCCCCTACCCTGATCGGGGGCGGGGCTGGCTGGCCAACCTCCCGCATCCCATCTCCCCAGCTGGAACCCACCTGTGCACAAATTCGTGCACCGGGCCTCTAGTCAATGATAAGAGAAAATCATTGATTGGCTGCCCACTGGTGATCGAGCCTGCAACCTCGGCATGTGCCCTGACTGGGAATCAAACCGTGACTTCCTGATTCATGGGTCATGCTCAACCAATGAGCCACTCCAGCTGGGCAAGGATATGTTTTATTTATTTATGTATGTATGTATGTATGTATGTATGTTAATCCTCAATGGAGAAAATTTTTCTCACTGATTCTAGAGAGAGTGGCAGGGAGGGGGTAAAGGAAGGGAGAAAGAGAGGGGGTAAAGGAAGGGAGAGAGAGAGAGAGAAATATCAATGTGAGAAACACTGATCGGTTGCCTCCCACACACACCCCGACCTGGGATCAAACCTGCAAACCAGATAAGTGCCCTGACTGGGAATCAAACCTTTTGGTGTACAGGACAACGCTCCAACAAATTAAGCCACCCAGACACAATTTTTAAACAAGCACCCACAAGAATGGTTAAACTGGGTGGTCAAATATAACACAAAGAATCCTATATAATAAAAGGCTAATATGCAAATTGTCGCCTCAGGAGTTTGACCGCTCGCTATGACGTGTGCTGACCACCAGGGGGTGGCGCAGAACAAAGGAAGGCCCGGCAGGCAGCCGGAAGGCCCCAATCGGCCCTGATTGCCGGCCAAGCCTAGGGACCCTACCTGTGCATGAATTTCGTACAGCGGGCCTCTAGTATCCTAATAAAAGGAATTCTTACTATAGAGGTTTGGGGGAAATAAACTTCAGTATAAGATGAGTTCAAGGAAAATAGAGCTGTAAGTTAAGGAGTTAGAATAGGAACAGAAATAAAGATAAGGTAAGGACAAACTGTTAGAATTTACAAAAGATCTGTATAATTAATAATTCAGAAAAATCAAAAGGGCTTTTTATAACTCGACCTTTTAAGTTGGGAAGAATGTATGTAATAAGAAGAGAATTTAATCAAGATATTGGAGTTAAGATATTTTAAAAAATAACACCTCAAGCACAAAGCCATATTACACCAAACTGGGAATAAAGATCAGTATTTACTCCACAAATTATATTCTCTTCTCTGAATCAATATAAAACTGTCTTCAACACTTTGATCTCCTTATAGGACTCCTATGAGAGCTCTGAACAGATTCCCCCTTAAAAAGGGGCGGGGGAGGCATTCCATGGGAGTAGAAATATAGGAATTGATACAATTAATTTTATCAACAATTCTTAAAATATGGATACTGTCTATAAAACACATTATTAAATAAGATTTTTGTTTGAAATAGACTGCAAAAGGTGTCAAATTTAAAAAGCACATTTCAGAAGAATTATGTCAGAAAAAATCTAGTTGTTTTAAAATATACAGAAAATAGGAAGATTAGTAGGGGAAACAGCATAAAAGAAGAATCTCACTTTTATTTCCAAATCCACGTTTACTGTTTAAATGTTTTATGACAATCATGTATTACTTTTATAATTAAAAAAATAAAAGAATGGCCCTAGCCGGTTTGGCTCAGTGAATAGATCTTCAGCCCTTGGCTGAAGAGTCCCAGTTCAATTCTGGTCAAGGGCACATACCTCTGTTGCAGGCTCCTCCCCATCCCAACCCTTGGTCAGGGCGTGAGCAAGAGGCAACCAATCAAAGTGTTTCTCTCACATCGATGTTTCTATCTGTCTTTCCCTCTCTCTTCCACTTTCTCTGAAAATCAATGGAAAAATATCCTTGGGTGAGGAATAAAAAATAATAAAAGAATGAATGGGAATTTGCATTAAGTTATTCAGTAATGTGTCACTTTCAGGATCTACAACGTAGATTCTACGAGTCAATCATCCTTTGCTGACTACAGTTATGAGATACCAAAAAAAAAATTATTTCTGTTGCCTAAAACAAGAACACAGCACCTCTGTTCCCTACTTCCACAGAAGAGGTGGGTAGGTCTATGGGAAAAACACCTCGTGAGAAGATTTAGTTCTGCTTTCTCATTTCGATGTATGACTGCAGACCAAGCCCAGAAAAACAAAACAGGATTCGTCTGTGAAAAGGCAGTATAAGACTTGTTAATACAAAACAAGGGAGAATGGTAAGACTACAACACATGACGTTTCGGGTCCACTGTGGCTGTTTGAAACGCTCTCCAAAAGAAGTGCAGTTTGTATAACATAAAACTTGTGGGAGAATCTGCCCCAGCTATGTTTCCTGAATACCTAAAGAAGCCGATTCAGGAGAGGGGTTACTGCAGCAGGTTTTTAAAGATAAAGACTGGTTTGTTTGAGAAATGGATACCGTCCAGAGAATAGAACTTTCATCTGTGTTTTAAAAATAGGCTTAATGCCATTTTCATTGTTTCCCCCAACTCCCTCTTATCCATGAGACTTTGATCTTGACAACTGCATTTTGCTAACTATAGTATTTTTCAGGAACATAGCTCCCAAGGTTGACAAAGGATTTGTGTTTAAGAGATACTATAAAACACTTTAAAGACAGAAAGATTCGGGTTCAAATCCTAACTTCAATTTCAAGCTACATTACCATGAGCAAGTTAGCTACCCTGATCTCTGAATTCAATGGAGACACTGTAATGAGCAAAGTATTCTGTGCACAGAAAACCCCTGTCAAAAGAGAGCTATGCTTTTTATAAAGATCTCTGACAAAAGTAGAGTGTAGGGTTTGGGAAGTGGGCAGAGGGGCAGAAAGAAATACCTGAAGTGTTCCTGTAATTTCACTGGGACTAGATGTTTGGTATTCTAATTTGTTAAAGATAAATAGATTCCAACAGCCCATGCAGAATATAAGTGCATTTGACAGAATACAGCTAAGTTAGGATTTATACTGTAAGCTATTTTTAAAACTGCCTGCTTAGCAAATTAAGCCAGCTGTGAAAATATCCTGGTTTCCATTCACAACAAATATGAGATGAACATTCTCCTTTAATGAACCTGGCCATGTGGCAGCATAGCTATTCTGCATAATTCATTCCTAAGGGCTGCAAGACATAATTTTCCTAAGACAGACCAAAACTAAAAACTATTTTCTAGAAACTAAAAAAGTCGAAGGAATGCAATTTCTCTATAGATTTTCAGTAAATTCCATGAATCACTGAACCATTCAAGTTAGGAGACTACTGTCTCAATAAATAATAGTAGTGATATCAGTCCTATTAGCTATCTTTTTAAAAAATATATTTTTTATTTATTTCAGAGAGGAAGGGAGAGGGAGAGAGAGACAGAAACATCAATGATGAGAGAGCATCACTGATCGGCTGCCTCCTGCATGCCCCTAACTGGGGATCAAGCCTGCAACCCAGGCATGTGCCCCTGACCAGAATCAAACCTGAGACCCTTCAGTCCACAGGTCAATGCTCTATTCACTGAGCCAAATCGGCTAGGGCTTAACTATCTTTTTCTTTAACAGGGCATATGAAACACCAGTATGCTCTGCAACACAAATTTTCAAGGTCTGTGATAGAGGGCAAAAAAAACTACTCATTACCACCAAAAGCTACCCAGAGGACTCCCAATTTCAGATTTAAAACTTAATCACTTTTAAATCAGGAAGGAAGAGATCCTGAATTATTCAGAATTATTTGGCTAAGTTACATTATTTATAAATCCTATTCCTAGGGAAACAATTTGTGATTTAAACAAAGATCAGAAGTATAAATAACTCAATGGAAAAGAATTTCAGGAAGTACTATTCAAATAAATTCACACTTGGAATGCAAGAAAACAGCCTATTAATTTCATCACTTCATAAAGACACTGCTAAGAAAAGGATATACAAGTTTGTGCTTTCTTTGGAAATCAACCCGACTGAATTAGTTCCATTTGGAACATCCTCTTAAAGCCTTTGCTAAAGTGTAACATAAATTCCGATTACTCAAGTATGAAAAACTACAAAGCCAACTTTCTTGTCCCTCCAGTTAGTGTGTCTATAAATAGAAGCAATGCATTAACAGCAGCCAAAGCAACTGGTGAGTTCCACAATGTGCCCAACATATACATGCCTGCAAACATGCTCTCAGCATGTTTAACCAAAGTGCTTTTGAAGATCTGTAATAAGACCCTTTTTAAATAAAGTGTGACTCACTGTTTGCTTTCTTCACCAGGAGGTGGAGTCTTGCCATGCCCTTCCATTACAAAATCCTCCTGTTCCACCTGCAAAGGCAAGCACCACAGGTCAGCAGCAGCCAGTAACTATGGTGTAACTCACTCCAAAGTGCCAGAGCCTGCCCTTGCAGACCACATCGGACTAGACAGCTTTGTTGAGCCTGATGTCAATGCACACATCTGGAGTTCCCATCTCCTTCATGGCAAATGCCTGGATCTCTCTGAGTGCCCCAGGGGCACGCTTCTTGAAACCCACTCTATGGATGCGCTTGAGTGTTGATGGTGTATTCTCCCTCACTGTCACTACTGCGCTGATGATAGAATGGCCCTTCTTCTCACCACCCTTCTTATGCTGGACCCAAGTTGGAAAGCCAGCTTTCGACTTTTATTCTTCTTTAAGAACTTCTTATTGGGCACCTTACCAAGGAGAGGGAGGCTGCTCCCATCCTAAGTTTACTTAGTGATCTAAAACTTCTGGAATAAAAAGTAGGGTTAAAATGTTGCAAGGGACCCTTATGAGAAGCTAGAGATGATCTTGATCTGAGTTCTGGTTATAAGAATGCACACATTCATGAAAAAAAAAATCACTGAACTATGCATTTTATGCACTGAATTGTATGAATGTCAGACTTTAGTTAGAAAATAAGTGACAAATTGTTTAAATGTATTAAATTGAAACCTAAATCATTTCCTCAAAGACAAAAATGACTTTTCAAATTATACTGTATTATAAAATTTTCTTGATCCTTCATCTTTAACAATCCTCTCCAATTAAAGAGCTCCAAATTGTGAACCTTAGCCTCTGCTTATTAGTTTAAACAAACAACAAATAAACAAAAGGCTTATCTATACTCAATTTCTAATTAGCATAATGATGATGAGAAGAAATAATTTTAAAAGCCTACAGCTTCAATAACCTCCCTATACTGGCTTCCAAATTTTTAACTCCAGCCTTCTTTTGCATACCAGTCTTCTCCACTTGGATGGTTTAACAGGGCCATAACGAAACACCATCTTGCTTCAAATTTCCTCTCCTTTTTATATCCCTTATCTCTGTGAATAGTGCCAGCATTCACTAAGATCCCCAACAGGAAACCTATAATCATACAAGATTCTCCAAGCTTCCTTAACCCCACACATCCTATTAATCACCAAGTACCATGGCTTCTATCTCCTAAATAGCTCTCATATCCATCACCCCTTCTAATCTCTTTTAACTGCCATAGTTAAAGCCAGCTTCTCTAAAGCTCACTACTATAATAGCCTTCTCACTGGTCTTTGTGCTTCTGAGTCCCATCTCATTTCAATCCATCTTCTAAACCACTTTCATGAAGTGGACTTGGTAAATTGCAAATCTGATTACATCACTCTCCTTGAAATTATTCAATGGCACTCTATCACCTATCCTGAGGGATAGTTCAATTCATTTGCCTAAGTGATCTTTTCTTATCTGCCCTGCTTCACTCACCCATGAAGCACACACAAACTCCTCACCCTCTCTGCCTTTACATATAATGTTCCATCTTGCTTGGAAGCCCTGGCCTTCCACAACATGTACACTTTAAATTCCCACTCATTCCTTAAAGTGCCGATTTAAATTTTTCCCAGACGGCACTATCTCGTTCACCAGGATTCATACCTTTTCTTCATCTCCATCATCTCATAAGGCAATAAACAGTTCAAAAAGATCACTGCTCCTTATTGCCACTTCCTGTTTTCCTCAAGTCCATGCCCAGTCTCTCTGCATCCTAACTTATTTTTTCTACAAATTTCTTGAACACTTCTGGACTTAATTTGATTACCTCCACCATTCCTCCCCATTGACCACATCTTCAGAAGTTTCAGTATATTTATTCATAAAACTTACACCATATCCTCACCTTTCTTCCACTATTATTAATTCATCCAACATATTACATGCTAGGTGCTGTGCTGAGATAATAGTGAAGAAGACAGTTTTTGCCATTAAAAATAACTTACCGATTAGTGGTAAAGACAAACAAAACCAGTCACTTACAATACAGTGAGAGAAAGCAATGAGACAACAGGAAGCACACTTAACTCTCTAAAGAAATCCGATCCTCTCTGTCTTAGGTGACCATCTCTTTCCTGCTTCAGCTGGGAATGGGCAGGACCCAAGGCTGAGCCTCACCATCAGTCTGTACTGCTGCACACCCAGGTCTATGAACTCTGAAATCCGTCTCAGACCACAAGCGTCTCTTCCACTCCCTCCCTCCATGTGAACCTGCAAGGAGTCCTCATAGTAACATCTAGTCTACAGTTCTTTTTCCTCAGATTCCTTTCAGAGCCTCACTTGATAGGCACAGTATAATCAAAGTTCTTTTTTTGTGCATTTTTTTTTGTTTTCCCTGGAACTAACAATTACTATTTCCTCTTCTTTTACTTTCTCTCCATATTTTTGACTTAGTATTTATTATGTATTTTTCACCAATTCATCCTCAAACTTTCCAACATAGCTGTAAGTCACCTTTATCTCAGTTCAAACACTTCAAATAATCTATCCATTTCATTCCAGGCCTGGAGACCATCCTCAGGGGTTTTCCCTTATTCCCGTCTGGATTGTTTGCTAATTAGCTGACACCTTGCCAGGGATGTCTCTTCCCCTTCACCTCTGGAATTCCCTGCTCTCTCTCCTATATTGGAGCAGCTGTTTCCCAGATCCTTTGTCTTCCTCTTTTATGGTTACTCCCTCATTGAGGTGGAATGAATATTATTTAGTCTAATTGATTCTAAACTGATAAACTATTACAATAATTTAAAAATCAAAAAAGCCAGTCTTTTCCTTTTTTCTCAGAAAGAAGGTGGAAACTAAGTTTATGACACAATAAAACATTCTATGTTGGTCTAATTACATGCTCACCAAGTTCCAATTACAACTTAGCTCTTCAGGGAGAGAATGTATTAACCAGAGGATCCACGAGTCCAGTCCTTCTTAACATTATAATTCATTATAAGTTAATAAATTAGGAACTTCAGAAATCCCGAGGTCTGTGTATCTTGAGTGTCCTGAGTGTCTGTGGCTCTGTGTGTCTGGGGGAGATTCCTAGAGTATGTGTGTATCCCAGATTCTGACTAACCCTGAATGAGATTCAGGATCTAGATGAATCTGATAAAAGTCTATTGGCTTCTGCTTTTTTAAAAATTAATTAATTTATTTATTATTCATCTTCCTTCTGGTGAGATGGGAATAAAACAAACAAGAGGACAGGATGATATCTATTCCTCTCCCCAACCTATGGACTGCAGAGAGGGGAGATTCAGAAAGAAGCTGAAAGAGCTGTTTTCATGAGGGGCTCAAACAGCACTTCTGCGAAGCCCAGCCCACAAAGTACAACAGAGCAGAGAAGGGGGTGGCCTCTCCAAACTCAGTGAAACCCTGCATCAGGCCAATGGGCAGCCAGGACTGGTCTGATGGGAATTCACAGATACAGTGGAATCTCGTTTCTTGAACTTAATTCACTCCGGAAGGTTGTTTGAAACCGAATCACTTTTCCCCATTAAATTGAATTAATCCATTCCAGACCTCCAAGTGATTCCCTGTTTTAACCTTTCTTTTATACAGTACATGTTTAATGTATATTTAATCTATAAATGAACACTTTAAAAACAAAAAGGACATGAAATATAAATGAAAATTTAACAAAAAGGGAAGGAAATGTACAGTAAAAAATGAAAATTTAATAATTATAAGCAACAAAAGCAAAAAAACCATGAAAATATTCACAGCACAATATACTGTGATTTTAACACTGATAAATTGACTCATACTTGCACATTCTCTCCTTTGTTTGTCATCTGAGACATGTGACTGATCATACAGGTATCAGCATGAAAGGGTTGTCAGGTTGAGAAGTGAATTGTTTGAGATGGGAGACATTCAAGAACCAAGGTTTGACTGTATTTTTTTCCTGTCTTTAAGAAAATAATAATTTACTGATGTGCCCCAACCAGTTTAGCTCAGTGATAGAGTGTCAGCCTGGGACTGAAGGATCCCGGGTTCGATTCCGGTCAAGGGCATGTACCTCGGTTGCAGGCTCGTTCGCATGTAGAAGGCAACCAATCGATGTGTCTTTCTCACATTGATGTTTCTCCCTGTCTCTCCCACTCCCTTCTACTCTCTCTAAAATTCAATGGAAAATTATCCTCGAGTGAGGCTTAACAAAAAAAATAATTTACTGATGTGAAATTCACATAACATAAAATTAGCCATTATAAGTTGAACAATTCAGTGGCATTTGGTATATTCACAATGTTGTACAACTACCATCTCTATCAAGTTCCAAAACATTTCCATCACCCCAACTAGAAACCCTGTACCTAGTAAGTACTTATTTCTCATTTTCTCATCTCCCCAAAACAACCCGACAAACACCAGGCTGTGTTTTATCTCAATGTATTTATCTATTCTGCATATTTCATATAAATGGAATCACACAAAATGACCTTTTGTGCCTGGCATCTTCCATACAACATGATGTTTTGACCATTCCCAGTGACATTTTGACACCTCTCCACTCTTACTCCGGTGAAGGAATAAGCCTTTCCACAGAGACTACCAACAGCAGGGGAGGCAAAAAAAGGAATCCCCTTAGGAGGGCCCAGGGCAGCTGATAATGCTATCAGTGCTGGGCACTGGCCTGGACACAGTGTGAGATACCCTTGGAACTTCCAGAAGGGACTAGAGACAACACTGAAAGGAGAAGGAGGGAGGTGAAGTGAGGGTGCTACTGAGGGTCCCATATGAACAACAGAGAAAGAGCCAAGCAGATTCAGGACACAGAGGCAGATCATACAGTTATACATAAATACACAGATAACTATTTATATACAGGGTTTGACAGTGATAACAGTCACTTAAGCTTTAGCTTGAAAACCAAACCAATGGCATGACAGAGACAGTGATGAGGGTTGGACAGAATATGAATTTGGAATCTATATCCGTGGAGTCATAGTGTCTTTCAAATGACTTTCAAAATAATTTATTTTGGCAATAAATAAATAAATAAATAAATTTAATAAAACAAGCTGCTACTTAAAATTTTATAATAAAAAATGTTTAAAAAGTAATCAGTGATGCCTCTGTGCAACAGGAATAAGAGACAGGCTTTTACTTCTTACTGTACACACTTCTGATTTGTTTTAATTTTTCAAATAAGTATATATAACTTGTATAACAAAATATTAAAAAGGTAAATTATTCTACAAATTAATCAAGTTCTCCAAGAGTTCAGTAAAATCCTTTAAATTTCTCATGTAGCATAACAAAAATGGATATTGAGGAAAAAAAATCTCAATCTAAGGTTGTCTACCTTAAATCAATCTAATTTCTAAATTCAACTAAAACATCCACTCCACTCATCCACTGCCTCTGCTTTTCATTTCTACTCATATTGTTTGCACCTTTAGTAATTCACTGACCTTGGAACCGCTTTCTTCCGATACTTCTCCCTCATTGGTTTGCATGGGAACAGACTCTGTGCAAAACTCTGCAGAAACACACAAATACTGCCTAAAAGAGACAGGAAGAGAAAAACACACAAGGAATTCAGTTCAGACATTTGTTTCTTCAAAGATTAGATTGAAATTCTGTTACTGATACGTGGACTGTGAAGTACAACCTTAACGTGTGTACGTGTGTGTGTGTGTGTGTGTGTGTGTATACACCTGTATGTCTATACACATATATCTGAAGTAGAAAGGGAATTTTCCTCACCTTGAGGGAGGATAGCTAGCAAAAGTTTAAGACATTGGAGTATTGAACAGTACTAGACAGTTTTCTTTTTATTTGACTTTTGGAAGAAGTGATAGTGAAAATCTTCAGTAACTCATACAGTACAAATACTGACCTGTCAGAAAGGATGTCTACCTAAGTAAAGCACTGAACCAACTGTTATGCGGTAGCCAGTTGTACTGCCTGGATATTAAGCTAGACTATTAAAATTGGCTGGGTTTCTTGGGTTTATAACTTATGTTCAACACTTGTGATATTTTATGACTGAAATTAAGGTGTACTTTAATGATTGATCCTACTTGTTTTAGTTTAAGAAATTTGCTTAATAAACTAAATGTCAGTTAATTTATTTTTATAAGAGAACAGGCTATTCATAGGGCATGACAATAAAAAGTAATTTTCCTCCAAGAATAAAATGAGTCAAGTGAAAGTTTATTAAAATTTCATAAATTAAAATATACCAAAATAACTATAAGTTTATGCAACATTCAAATTAATTCATTAAATAAGTAAGTATTGAGTAATCATTACTCAAAACTGACACAAAAATCTCTATTATACATGCAGGTACAAATATTTTTAAATGTTTCAAATGCTTTAAAAGGCTCATAGCGACAAAATATAAAAGCTAAAAAGATGCTTCATGGTGTACTTTCTGTGTGTGCAGAGAAATCTCTTTATGGATGTAGCAGCTTGGGGGGCTGGCGATCTGGCTCTGGTGCAGGCTTCTCACTAACCAGCCACAAGACCTGAGACTAAAAAGACAGTTCTCCCAGGCTGGCATGGCTCTGTGTTTGAGTGAAGACCTATGAACCAGGAGGTCACGATTCCCAGTCAGGACACATGCTTGGGTTGGGAACTTGATCCCCACTGGGGTGTGTGCAAGAGGCAGCCAATTAATGATTCTCGTTCATCATTGATATTTTTATCTCTCTCTCCCTTTCCCTCCCTTCTCTGAAATAAAAAAATAAAATAAAATAAAAAGACAGTTCTGGGAATCTGTTTCTTCATCAGGTGGGTGGGAAAAGGGAATCAAAATATCTACTATGCTCACCTAATGAGGATTTGGGGGAACTAATGCGTATTTATCTGATGTATAACGTAAAACTGGTACAGTGGAAGCTCTCTCAGTCAACTCCTATTCATTCCTTCCAGATGAACTGACATTGCCCATTCCCTCTGTAAAACATGACTGATGCTCACAGCAAGTGAAACAGGCTTTCTCTAGTTGGTTTCGACCCTCACCTGTTTATGACACTTGTGCAAAAACATAATTGCTCTTTATATGAAAATTAAATGGAAAGCACTGGAAAAACTCAATTAACATATCTAGAAAGATTTGGTATGCAAATTACTTCACAAATGTCTTCAAGTTCAAATGCTACTTTACTGAAATAGAGATTGTATTTCCCAGATGATGCATTATAGGCAGAGCTGACCAAGAAAGGGACCCGATTCTCTCAGTGCCATTTCCATCTGAATGTGCGGGGGGGGGGGAGGAATGCTGCTTCCCTCTCCCAAGGTCCACTCCTGGCTCCTCTCCACCTCCACACACACTACCCCAGAGGAGGCACAGGATCTTATCTGAAAGGTGAGTTCAGAGGGAGAAACAAGATCTGTGATCTCTCTCTTCCTTTTGGAAGCCAGCGTCCCCAGGGAGCACGCATTCTCCTCTGCTCCTGTCCCTATCGATGCAGGCCCCTCACAATTACCTGCAAATAGGCAAGTCTGAAGAATTCTGAGGTTCAGTGTTAAGAAGTTCACTTGCCTACAGATTTAAGCTGAATTCTCCAATTTAGCTTTATTCAGAATAGAGATGATATTTTGGTCTCCCAAATGCCTTTCTCTGATCTTATTTCTCAACTGGTACAGAACTCAGCCAAGGGAAAATTAGAGTGCTGTTTATTGGGTATCTCTCAAACCCTAACACCTACTGCATGAGATTAGTCTTGATGAAGAGACACAAAGCAAAATTTGGGGAGTAATATACATGTGGAATTTCTGAGGCTTCTGTTGGGGCCACGACTTGGGGCCTTGGTCTTTACTGCGGGGGGCAAAGTGTTGTGACCCGGAGGAGGTTTTACATTAGGCCTCATGAGCTTTTACAGTTGTACACTAGCTTTTAATTACTGAGGCCAAATTAGAAGTTTATAAACCACAGGCCACACTGTATTCTGACTTTAGTGGTGACTGTAGTTATGGCAACTTTGTCTTCAGGTAGTGGCAGTTTCTATAGAAACCGGCACATAAAGCTTTAGCGAAGGCTTGGGGGCTTTGCCGGCCTCAGCAAAGAAACAAGCCACTCTCTGCCATGGCGGTAGTACTGAAAGCTCATCTAAATGTCAGATGCACAAGTGGTCTCAGCATACACTGGCTACTCTGGCCTAGCAAGCAAATGCCAGCTGTGCTGGCCTCAGCAAAGGGAATAGGGCATTAGCAGGCCTGGGTAGCTTCAAAGCACAGAAGGCTGACCTTGAATTATGCAGACACAGCTTTTCCTAAGTAGGCATGGCTGAGATAAAGATTATTAGACTTTAGGAAAAAAGACTTTCTTCATACAGGCCTTTTAGATATTAGTGAGTAGAACAATTATTTGATGCATATAAGCTGCAAGGCAACTAAATTTGAAATAGCACATGGGCTACAAAACCAGTGAACTTCTAGGTTTAAACTGTTTGTGCTGGGCTTACATGGGCGATTCAAAGGGGAAATTCAAAGAGGTTTCTCACAATATTTCACAGAAGGAGGGAAGGAAAGAAGAGAGGGAGGGAAGAACAGAGGCAGACAGGGAGGGAGGGAACTTATAGAGGAAAATTGGTAACTGGGGCGCCATCTACATTTTGTAAGGAGGAGGTGATATTTCAAATAGTAATCTTTAAAAGAGAAAACATGTGCATTGGTTGTTTTTTCCCCCAGATATGATAAAGACAGTTCCAGATTTAACCTCTTGCTGGCAGATTGTTCCAAATGGTGGCAGTGTCCAAATCATATACTCTGGACACTGGCATGGACCAACGGTATCTTGGTGAGGCTCAAACCAAGAGAACCTCACCCATTCTCCCCTCCCTCAGATACCAATGTGTCTCTGCTACAATCTTTGGCAAGACTGAGTATTGCATTCAGGGAACGTAACTTTATCTGCTCTTGGGCTGGAGGTAGGCTTTCTTTTTTAATTTGGTGGTGGTGGGGATAGTGCTGAAATGATTTTGTTTAGCCTTCGAGTTCATATAATTTGTATACCATTCTGATCCATTTTAGAATCTGCTGGGGACAGAATCTATTGATGGTCCCAAGAGAACAGTGATTGGTAGTGGGGTGGTGTCCTCATGAAAGTGAGAGTAGGACGGTCCTGAGACCATCCCTGACCTAAAGGGGACAGGCACACCCCAGCTGACCGACATTCACTGTGTAAGAGACAAAAGCTGGTGAGTGTTAGAGGAGAAAAACTTCGTCCTCACTCTTGATGCTCCCCTCCACATAGGGCAGTATCAGTTTGTTTGCTATTCCTGGTCTTATCATATCCTGACTCCTGCTGTGAGCCTAGAGGAGGAAACTGTGCTTGCAGAGTCCACCCCTTCTCTCCCCTTTCCCTTGGGGGTACCTATTGTGCTCTGCTCCTTTCTTCCTTCTAGGAGGTGGTCTACCCAGACTAGTGCTGCTGGGTGAGAAAACCCATTAAGTTCTGGAGTTCAAAAATGAGCCAGTTCTCCCATGTCAACTTATAATAAAAGTGAAATTTTGTTCTCTGCCTGTCTTACTCCTTCATCATCTATTTCCATTGTTTCAGAATATAGACAGGAAATAGAATATTAATTAGTGGGTTTCTTTCAATTCTAACTTGGTGGTTGAATTTAGTTGGTGCCTGTGGGGACAGTGCTGAACCTTCACTCAGGCAAACCGTCTTTCCATTCTCTCCACACATTTCCATCCTTCTATTCAGTCATTTTGTATTTCTAAAAATCCTTCCTGATTAACACCATATAATCTGCCTACTTACTATATTTCATACTGATACCTATTTTTTAATTTGTCCTTTATTTAATTTGCTCACTCTCATTCTCTTGTTGTTTTGAAACTACCCTTAATATTTTTAATGCGTTTCTTGAAAAAGTCTTGATGACATTCTGATTTGAAGGCAAAGCTTATAGTTGTGTCTAAGGTTCTAGGTCAGTTTTACTGTCCTTTTGACAAAATGGAAGGAGAATCAGGCAATGCAGAAGTATATGGTTAAGCTAGGGGTTCCACGTGGGAAGTGACATAGGGTCCAGTGTATCGGTGCTAACAGAGTGATGAACAAGCCATGACAAAGTCCACTTATGTGAACATTAACTGGAGGGGTGAACAAGTGGTGGTAAAGCTGTCAAAAATGACGTGCCAACATAAGCACTTCATTTCTGCTTCAGCACATCATTTCACCTCAGAGCTGTCATCAATTTGCCATACACAGTAAGTGACAGATAGTTGTGACCTGGCACAGTGCTTCAGCACACACAGGACAGGACTCAACAAATGTTAATGACCAAACATGAGTAATGTCATACAGCATCTGTGCTAGGCCTCCTCTAAAAGTTGGCAAATACACTAATATTTTCAAAGTCTTCCAGGATCCAGCCCTCACCTGTCTCTCCAGTGTCACTAACCAGGCCTTTTTGTTCCTTTTGTTCCAACCATACTGAGCTACTTATAGCTTCACAAATATGCCAGGTTGTTTCAGGTGTCCATGGCTTTGTTCATATTACTCCCTATGCCCTTTCCTCCGATACTCCTCATGAAGACACAGCTTTTAGAAAGGATTTCCTGATCCATCTCTAGGTAGAGCTGATGATTTCTTCTTCAGTGTCCCCAGTGGATCTTATTTGAACCCTGTTATAGGATCTGCAACTTTATTGGATTTATTTGCTTGCATAAATGACTTTCCTATTAGACTGTTAACCTTTTAGTACCAGACACTATATCTCATTAAACTCTATAGTCACAGTTTATTTAAAACTGTGTACCTGTATTTAATGGGAATTCAATAAATTTCCATGTAGGAATGACTGGATTAATCAACTAAAGTCCTTTTCACTTAAACTGCAATAGATGGCAATTCAATAAATATTTACTGGGTCCCAACCACATGCCAGATGGTGCTAGGCTAATGCGGTGTAGTACAATAAGCACTGGTTTTGAACGGGCAAAATCATTACTCTTTGACACGTACTAGCTGTGTAATCTTGAGCAAGTTACTTAGATTTTAATCTTCATTATTTTTACCCATAAAACTGGTCAGGAGGTAGTGTTATAAGGATTAAATAATACATGCATAGCACTGAACAAGGTGTCTAGGAGCAGCCAACAGGCACTAAAAAAACAGTTCCTTTCCAAGAAGTTTCAAAGGGTTTATAGACTAGTAAAGGAGACATAATACAAATAAACAACTCTAATGTAAAATAATGAATGCTTTGTCACTGTAATAATGACAGGTGCTCCTAGAACACGGATGAAAAACAAAACCTGCCAAGAGAGTCCAGAAGGGGACAGTAGGAAAGATACAAGAAGGAAGAGTGCAGTTGCATTCTCCCCTCTTCCAAACTCTAAGCAAAGAGCAAAGTATCAACCAAGGCACAAAGCTGTGAAAAAGAACTATCTGGGAAAAAGAAAAAGGCTTACAGATAAGGGTTCAGTAAGAAAGAAGCCAGAAATGTTGATTGCAATTAAGTTTTGAAAGGGGTTTGTAGGGTGACATCTGTAGCAACTGGGAGCCATGAGAGCTGTTTAAGCAAAGGGCTGACATGAGTGAATCTATCATTTTGAAAGCTGACTCGGGCAGTAATGTGGACTACAGACTGCAGCAGGGACAGAGGAGGGGCAGAGAAGCTAGGAATACACTCGCATAAAACTGTGGAATTGCTAAATCCTAGTGACAAATTCCAGCTTTATTAAACGACGAGGCACCAAGTATCAGTAGCAACCTAAATACAAATGCTTTTTAAGGGGATCTACCAATGAGAAATGGAAAGGGCTGGCGTGATAAACACTTTAAATACCCTTCTGTAAGAACTCTGGAAACAAGTAATGACGCCAAAATGTACTTTTCTTCTTATTAAGATGAAGACTCTCCCATTCAATGCTACTAGTAATACTGGGTAAAAAGAAATTTTAAAAACTTACCTTTGACAGTATCCTGGGGCAACACACGCCCGTGAAGATGAATCTAGACTACATTCAGTGCAAAAACCAAAACCCTGAAAAGAGAGAAAAATCACAGTAAGCCACACACTCGTAGCAAGATGCCATGGCAAGTGGCAGAACAAAGTTCAGAATTCAGGCAGCCTAGTACCAATCCAGGCTTCTCCATCTACCACAGTGGTTTCCCAACGTGGGGCACATACCCCATAGGGGGACAATTTGATTTTTAAGGGGGGCAATTCGAGAATGAGTTATTAACAGTGAATTTTTTGCATTTCTTATGGTTCTGGGGCCTCATATACAGTATGTAAATATATATTGTGACATATTTAAGCATTTCAGTTCTCTATTATGTTTTAAAATGTTATTCGCTATTTTTTCATATCACTTCATATTATTTTTTAAACAATTTCTTAGTGATTTCTTTCTCAGTACTTCAATTGTTCTTTTGTTCTTTTATTTTTCTCTTTCATGGATGCCATGCTTAGACCAAGTTAATGGCCTTTGAGGCTTCCTCCATGTTAATAAGAGTTCACTTTTTGAATAATAAGAATTAAATGTCACGGGCGGGGGGGCATCAGGATTTAAGAGATGCTTAGGTGGGGCATGGCCAAAAAGAGGTTTGGAACCACTGATCTACCAGCTCATAGCCTAACCTCTGAAACCTCAGCTTCCTCATTCAGCACTAGAAACAGTAACAGCATCTTTCTCAGAGGGTTCTTTGGAAGTTCAAATAAAATATGTGTAAAACACTTAGTACAGGGCAGCACCAACCACATGCTCAATAAAGGCAAGTGGTTATTAAGAATATGAACTGAAATATGAAATACTTGCTGAAGAAACATTAAAACCTATATTATACTTTTATTATTTATTTTACCCTTACGTCCTACCAGAAAAATAGCAAATTACCTTTTCAACTTCTCCATTTCATGTGAGGATGTCTCAAAATCACTTAGGATTTAATATTGCATCCCAAATTGCCCTCTTCATCCCCTATTCTCCATATCTCCACTGTCTCAAACAAGGCACCATCCTCCACCCAGCTGCCACCCAGCTGCTGGTCAGCTTGGATTTCCCTCTACCCCAGTCCTCTCATAGCCATCAGCAAGTCCTGTCATTTCTGCTTTCACAATATGTATCTCAGATCTACCCACAATTCTTCATTTTCATTGCCATCATCATTTCTCACTTGTGAAGGCCTCCTAGCTGGCCTCCCGGAGCCTATTCTTGCTCCTCCCCGATCCATTCCCAAAAATGGCTTGAATGGCCTCTTAAAAATCAAACCAGATCATAGCAAGATGCTAACAAATGCTGTGAAATGTTTTTTCATTTCAAGATGAAATGTCTCTTAATATATATGAAATACATATTTACATACCTGTGAATATACAAATACATCAAAATATATGAAATGACAGCCATTTATTAGTAGACATTTATAGACCTCAAGCCAGTCACTTCATTTTACAACGGCAAAAACGAACATCAGAAGGATATTCTGCTCAAGGTTGGACCTCTGTGTGTGTGTATAGGTGGGCAAAACAATGCCAGACAAGACTGGCAGAAATATATCTGCGATGAGCATCCACACTGTGCCAGACAGCTTGTCACTATTTGGAAGTCGGCCCCTTAGTTTCACAATCAATGTTTCTGTCCAAGAAAGTGTATTCCATTCCCCATGGCTACAGACTGTAAATTACAGCTTTAGTCCCACACTATGTCACAATGTTTGAGGTGGTACTTCAGTGTAACTTGAAAACATCTGCTGCCCCCTTATCTGCCATCACCTTATGTTTCCTTGTTTAAGTGTTTGAATAAACAAATCTTAGATGGAATTGTGCTGTGTAATGAGTATTAGTAATACTTTAATTACTAGTATTATCCCTATCTTCCTACTATACACACCACTGTCCCAGCGATCTCTAAAAAGCAAATTTGATCTCTAAATATATCACTGCCAAAATTCACTCAAGAGCTACCCATTACTTTTGGGGTAAAATTCAAGATCTCTCTTAACTGCATCATCACTTCACATTCTATTCACATGGATTGCTATTGGTTTCCTTGCCCACATGATTTCCTTGCACTGATGTCTCTGAGGACCTTTTGCCTAATTCCCTTCGACTCCTCCCTTGAGATCTGCCTCGGGTGTTGTTTTGAAGTTTTCTATACCCTCCCTGGCTCCACTAAGGGTTCCTCCTCTGAGGTATACCATACAATATCGGTAATATCCATGGGTCTATTTCCTTTACTCAAGACAACAAGATCTATGTCTTACACATCTCTGAATTTGGTATCAGGTAGCAGTTTAATAAACATAAACTGAACTAAATCCTGACATGATCCCTATACCCCAGTCCTTCAACATAGATGCTTCCCCATTAAATAAAAGGCCCTGGGGAAAACGGAAGCAGCCAGCTGCAACTTCCAAGATGGGTTTGGCCCTCACGGAGAATGTGAGCTATGCAGTTATGTGCGACCCTCCAGTACCTCAGAGACAGACTACATTCTTTAATTTATTGTCAACTAAAAACCATCAAGATGACAATGTATAATAAAAGTATAATAAAGGTTTTAATGTTTCTTCAGCAAGTATTTCATATTTTCAGTTCTCTATCTGATTAGTTTCTGCCCAGGCTAAGCAGGACTGCTTCTCTAGACTTATCAGTAGTCTAAACTCCGTACCAACTTCATAAAGTAACTCATAATTACTTATCTTGTTAACAGATAAGCTTAGGACACAGTGGCCAGCTCAGTCCTTTGCCTGCTTGGCAGCTGGTCCCAGACGCTGACATTCAGTGAGAGAAAAGGAGTTAAAGCAGTGGAGAAGCAGGCAAGGGAAACTGGGCAGTGTTCCAAGTACTCTGGAAACCAGCTTCATTACTCTCCACAGGGCTGTGAACCTGTGTATCAGATGGACTCATACTCAATATAAACATAAAATTTCATTCTAAAATCAACATTTGAAATGATCCGGTTGAAGTTATCTACAGCACTACTTTCCTTCTAAGGTATGAGTAATAGCAAATTCCTTCAAAATATCAGTTTGAAATGTTCAGGACTATATACTGTAATCCTACTATCTGATCATGTTCAGCCACAGCAGTAAACTATGTGAACCATTCCAGTTCTCTCTCTTCTCTTGCAGAATAACCAGGTTGGCCTTGGAATTTACACAGGGGTTGGGAAGGCTCAGTGGATCTTGGACTAAATCAACCCCTGGGATCAACTAAACTGCAAGGAGATTTCAAGAGTTCCTCCACAGCCAAGCACATAACTAAACTCACAGAATGTAATTAAAACTGCATCTTTCGCCCTGACCGGTTTGGCTCAGTGGATAGAGCGTCGGCCTGCGGACTGAAGGGTCCCAGTTTCGATTCCGGTCAAGGGCATGTACCTTGGTTGCGGGCACATCTCCAGTAGGGGGTGTGCAGGAAGCAGTTGATCGATGTTTCTCTCTCATCGATGTTTCTAACTCTCTATCCCTCTCCTTTCCTCTCTGTAAAATATCAATAAAATATATATTTTTAAAAAACCACAAAAAAACAAAAAAAAAACCTGCATCTTTCCTAGGGAATATGGCAAGTTTAAAAATACATATTCAAAAAACTATATTAATATCGCTTCTGACATGGTAGGATTTAATTTTCAAATTTGATTACTTAGCATAATTCTTTTAAATTTAATTTTGATTCTCATATCAAAAAACTCAAATAACATAGATAAGGCTATCTTCTCTCCCCCAACCTCAGTGTTCCCAAGACTCACCACTATTTATCTGTTTGACATCTAGCATAATACTTGGGGTTGCAGACTGTTAAGAATATGCTATAAACTTTTAATTGAGTCACTAATAACACTGCAAACCCAGACTGCCTATGTCATTGGCAACTGGCCTAACTTCAAGCATGACGTCAGGAAAAGATGTCTTAAGTGAAGCAACAGATGTGCGGGAGGAACAAAACACCAGCAAGGAGGCTGGGGATGTGTTCCCAGGAGGCGAGCATGGACCAGGAGGATACCAGAAGTCCAGCTCTGTAAGCGGCATACCCAGCTCAAGTGGGCAAGAAGAAGTCTATTTAATTAAGTAACACAAATAATAATAACAAACGCCTGAGGGAGCATTGCTATAGGTAAATGGGTTTATTCGGCCACCAATACACAAGTGACTATTGTTCCATGATCTTTGCAGTTTCAAGTCACTTCTACTTCAGTTTGACACTTTGGAAATTCTATAAAAATGTTCAAGTCTGTCCATTCCTAAAATCAGCCCCTTTAATCTGTAATCTCCTCGAGCTTTCTGTCCTCTCTTCCCTCTTTCCTCTCCCAGTCAAGCTTTTATAAAAAGAAAATGTTATTTGTGGTCTCAATGTACTTCTCTCTCTCATTCACTTATTAATCATTGCAATTTGGTTTCTTTCTCTGTCAGTCCCAGTTGCCAAATACAATGACTATTATTCATTGGTTTTGCTTTAACCTGGGCGTTTAAAAATCAGAGAGCTGAAACTCTGTCCTTTGGAAGCTCCTTTCCTATCTGGCGATTAAGGATGATGCAGATAGATCCAGTCATTGGGCCAGGGGCGCCTTCTTTTAGTTCTTGGTCTCTTGGCTGTGCCTGAGTTCTCCTGACTCCCTGGATTTGTAACCAGCCCAAGGCCTTTGTCAATACTGTTGATTTTCAGATTCCCATCTTGGGCAGGCTGGGGCTGGGTGAGGAGTTGCTGCTTCTGTACGTGGGAGTTGGGGAGACAGGGATTGTGGTGAGAGAACCAAACTCAATTCCTAGCTTCGAAGATTGAGCCTAGGTCTGATGCCCAAACTGACACGGAACATGTTTAGCCCCTTTACCACACAGAAGGGGCCAAATGCATTACTTGTGCACCTCTTAGACCATTTCTTACCAGTTTCTTTTACTGGATAGTCTTTCTCTACTTGTCCTTTAATTACTGGTATATTCCTCAGGAGTTCATCCTTTCCTTTTTTTTCTCCCCCTTTATTGATTAAGGTATTACATATGTGTCCTTATCCCCCTATAGCCCCCCATCCCCCTGCT